CACCGGCCTGGGGAGGCCGAGGAGGCAGGGGGCCGAAAGGGCTGTTCTGCTGTCGGCCCTCCGGCGTTGCGGCCGGAACCGCGGAGAGCCTGCTGCAGTGGTCGCGGGCCCACCGCCGCGGCCGGTGCCTGGACCGACTCTCTCTCTCAAAGGAGACTTCTCCTCAGCGGTTGCTGCAGAGGGAGATGAAGGACCTGTTAGACCGTGAGACGACTTCGGGGCCGGCCAACTAGGAGGACTCGGCGAGAGGGCGCCCGTACCCTCCCGGCCTTGCTCCTTTGGCGCCGCGAGCGAGGTGTCGCTCTCCTTCGGACGCGCGGCGTGTGCACGGGGCCCCGGCGGGGCGAGCGGGCGGCATGTTCCCGCGTAGGCCGCCGGCCGGCCTGGCCGCCTGGCTGGTGGGCGCGGCGNGCAGGGTGCGGCCAATTTTTTTTCTTTTTTTGACTAATTAAAAAAAATAACGTGGGAAGTTGGTATTGAAGACATGTAAGCTATTGCTCATGTAATATTTCATTCTTTCAGGAAGATGCAAAGGCTGCCCAGGTGGCACAGTGGTAAAAGAAACATGGGTTCGATCCCTGGTTGGGGAAGATCCCCTGGAGGAGGAAATGGCAACCCACTCCAGTATTCTTGCCTGGAAAATTCCATGGACAGAGGGGCCTGGGGTCGCAGAGATTCGGACGACTGAGCAAGTACGCTCGCATACAAGGTGCAAAAACCAAACAGGTTTTAAAATGGACCTGAGGATGTAGATAGGCAATTTACAAAGTTACTTTGTTCCAAATGGGATTTGTGAGAAATACCAGGAGAGCTCTTTTGTCATGGTGATTCATGGCAGGATTATGAGACTGGAAATTTTGCCCTCCGGGGGCAAACCATTAGCCTACACATTTTAACTTGGAAGAATTAGGTTAGTTTTTCTTGCTGCTGCTGCTGCTAAGTCTCTTCAGTTGTGTCCAGCTCTGTGCGGACCCCATAGACGGCAGCCCACCAGGCTCCCCCGTCCCTGGGATTCTCCAGGCAAGAACACTGGAGTGGGTTGCCATTTCCTTCTCCAGTGCATGAAAGTGAAAAGTGAAAGGGGAGTCGCTTGCCGCGACCCCATGAACTGCAGCCTACCAGGCTCCTCCGTCCATGGGATTTTCACTTCCACTAGAACTCCGAGGGTTTCATTAGGCTCTGTAATCATGTTGTCATCATCAAAAACCTCTGTGAGAAGTATAGTACCATTAGTTGATTTTGATCTGTGACTCTAAACTGAGCCCTTACAGTTTTCATGTAGTGTCATGAGGAAACCTTGCTTTGGGTCATGCTTTACATTGTTGTTGTATTTTTTTTTTTAAACGAAAAATGTGTGTCTCTCCACATATTCTGCCCCCTGAACTCTGAAACTGATTTCAGGAACCTCGGATAGTCCCCCTACCTCGGATAAATTCCAATAGAAGTCTATTCTAGCCATTTCTTCTGTTATTTCACACTTTTGGTTAGGTTAAAGTGGAAATACTTCAGTAAAGTTAACACTGTGATCTGTCTAGAAGTGTAGCACCCAGATGCCAGGCAACATTGTGAGTTGTCGGTAAATGCAAAGTGTATCTTTAGAGCTGGTAATAATTTTCCTAGCAGTAAAAAGGACTGTTTTACAAGTGCAGTTTAAACTCATAACCATGAACAACCTTACTCAAAAACGTTAAGGTGTCAAAGCATGAGAGATGGTCTGCCTAGTTTCTGTTAGTGTTTTGGGGATCTTGTCCGTTTGTTCTGATGGTGTTCTCAGGTATGAGAAATATGGGAAGATAACGTTTTAGTTGCAAAATTACCAATCAACTGTTTGAATTTGCATTCTGTTTTTGATGATGATGGAATACCCATGTTCCACAGTCGTGAAGTTTGAGGGAAAAAGTCCTACTTGGATTTGGTTTGGGAAAGAGAAAGACGAGGAAAGGACCTCTGGGTGCCCCATTGGGAATAGGAGTTGAGTAGTGTTGGGGCCCGGGTGATAGAGTTCATACTATTTCTTCGTGTATTTTTATTGATGATATGTTCTAGAACCCCTGTTCAGTAGGTCTCCCACTTCCAGGAGCTGGAGGGGAAAACAGGAAAAGAAATAGATGTGGTAAACATTTGAGTCCATAGTCACTACCCGCTGTGGGAGAAAGAAATCAGACAGTTGAAGCACTTGGTTCTAATCCAGCTCCTGAAGAGGTATTGTTCTGTGTTAACCCGCTTGGTTAGAAGCTTAGACAAAGGCCCTAAGAGCACTCAAGGTGCCCTTTTTGACCCTCCCCAGCCTTGTTGTTCCAGTAAAGGCCCTCATTTAACTCCATGTCCAGTTCATTCTTGAGTTCAGTCATATACTTAAAATTTGATCAAGTCCATTTTGAGGATTTTTAGAAATGTTATCTTGATGGGGGGGTTGGCAAATGATATGCTGTCAACTGTATCTTGGTTGTATGGTGATTTCAAAGATCTTTGTTCTTCTAGCTTGTCATGTTTGTATTTTATTATTAATTAATTTATTTTGGTTGCACTGTGTGCAGCTTGCTTAGTTTCCTGGCTGGGAATCCAAACCACGCCCTTGGCAATGAAAGCAAGGGATCCTGACTGCTGGACTGCCAGGGAATTCCCATATTTTATTGAATAAGATNGTCTTCTAGCATTCATATTGTGCTGTACAAAGAGTGAGTGTCATACCTTCACAAGACATTGCTATCCCCCCTAGGGACTCAGTCTCAAGATTTTTCAAGGTCACATAGTGACCTTTAATCTTAAGAAGCTGATTAAGCAGTGGGTCAGAAGCTCTGTACCACTTTGAGTCTTAGAAGGCCATTAAAAATATTGCCTATAGTCATATAGTTTAATTTTCTTAAAACCATATTACTATATACTTTTATGAGCCTCTGATGTATTTTTCTCAAGACATTCCTGCCCCTCTTCATTATGTGGTAAGGACATTCAAGAGTCCAGCTTAATTTTTTTTGAAGGGTGCTCTACTAGTTCTCAACAGACCATGATTGGTCCTACATGATACCTGCATTGTTGTTCTCACAGCCAAAGCTAGCTGTGTCTTTACTTTTGCTTTCTTCTCTGCAAGACCTTATTGCCTACTCTAAATTTCCTTCCCTATTTCTCTATGGTTTTTGCAATGATAGCAGACAATCCTGTTTTGCAATGTTCAATTCACATTGAAACTTTTAAAAAATGGTTAAACGTTTTTCATCAGAACATCAATATAAATTGACTGGCTAGTGTTATCAGTTGCAAACAAAGAGACTGATACAGGTTAACTCTCTCCAAAAAGGGTTTAATCAGAAAGGTGTTAGGATGTACAGAGCATTGAGGAAGGCCAGGGAGAACACAGGGTGGCTGGGAGGATAGCCAAGACCTGCTACAGGAGCGCTCTTCTTTGGACAGTGTTGCTGGTTTTGTTTCCCGCAGATCTGTTGCATTTCTCCTTCCAGATAAGTGAGGAAATCTAAAAGGTCCTGTGCCTTGTGTTATTTCCTCAAGACTTGAAGTCCTCTACCAAAAGTCTCTGATTAACCTCATTTGATGAGGAGTTAACGTGATAACTGCTAGGGCATAAGAGGGGGACTGGGCTGTATCTCACCTACTTGGGAGTTCTCCTTAATAAGGAAAAGATTTCGGGTGGTCAAAACACAAATGTCCTCGTACATAAATACTTTCATTGAAGTTCAAAGTTTAAAGTTCAGAGAATTGGAATAAACCTTCAAGGAATAATTTGCTCATGTTACAGGTGGAACTGGGGAGCCTTTACAGGTTAGCAGAGCTGGGACTAGAACTCAGATCTCTGTGCTATCGTTTGGATGGCTCTAAACTTTTAATTGTGGGTTACTGGTATGATTTTGAATTTTTGACTTCTAAAGCAGTGTATTAATGTAATCTTTTAATAAGAATTTGAATTATTGAGGCCTACCTCCATATTTATTTTACTCACTTTATTCTGCAAACACTTATTGAGAATGTAATGTTTACCAGGTACTTGCTAGGAGCCATTTTAGTAAGGAGGATAGGCATAAAGACAGATTAATTATAATATAGTGCAGTATGTTTCTGTAGAGGAATAAAAGTAAATGTGTATGGTTAACCCTTTCTTGGAGTTAGCCTTGAGCTTTATGGGTTTTTTTTAAAATTTATATTTTTATTTGTTGACTGTACTGAGTCTCGGTTACGGCACGTGGGATCTTTAGTTGTGCCATACAGACTCTTGTATGTGGGACCGATTTCCCTGACCAGGGGTTGAACCGTGTCCATTGGCATTGAGGGCACAGAGACATAGCTGCTGCACCACCAGGCAAGTCCCCTTGTGTGGTTTTTGAAGGTTAAAGAGGAGTAAGAAAGGGCGTTTCAGACAGAACATATCAGTAGGTGGTATCTTCAGTCTTGAATTGTAAAAGTGACATAGCCAGCCAGCAGTCTTGCTTACCTAACTGTTGTTTAAAGATTAAAGGGAGTGGGCTTCCCTGGTGGTCCAGTGGTTAAGACTGTGCTTCCACTGCAGGGGACACAGGTTCAATCCCTGGTTGTGGAACTAAGATCCCACATGCTATGCAGCATGGCCAAATTAAATAAATAATGAAAATTTAAAAAAAGATTAAAGGGAAAACCATGTTTTTTTAAAAAATGGTACTGGGACAACTGGAGATGCATGTGCAAAATAGTGAATTGACACCCTATACCTAACACTGTACCCAAAAATTAAAATGGGTCAAAGACCTAAATGTAAAGTAAAACTTGTAGAAGAAAATATAGGCGTAAATTCTTACGATACTGGATTAGGCAGTGGTTACTTAGATATAATACCAAAAACATGAACAGTCAAAGAAAAAATAGATTAATTTGACTTCCTCAAAATTGAAAACTTCTGTACAGCAAAAGTTACTATCAAGAAAGTGGAAAGATGGCCCACAGAGTCAGAGAAAATATTTGTAAATATTTAACAGGAGACTTTCGTTCAGAATATATGAAGAACTTTAAAAACTTGACAGTAAAGACAACCCAATTTAAAACAAAGATTTCAATAGCTCTTTTCTCCAAAGAAGATACACAAATAGCCCATAAGCACATAAAACTATGCTTAACGTTATTAGTCATTATACCCACTAGGATTGCTGGAATAAAAAAGATGTTAACAAGTGTTGGCAATGATGTGAAGCAGGTGGAACCCTCATGCAGTGCTCGTGTGAATTTAGAAATGGAAAAACTGCTTTGGAAAATAATTTGGCACTTGCTCAAAAAGTTAGAGTTTCCCAGACCCAGTAAATCTACTCCTAGGAATTTACCAAAGACAGCTGAAAGGTTTTGTATGTACACAAGTTGTATGCAGATAACTATAGCAATATTATGCATAATAGCCAAAAAGTAGAAAACACATGTCCATCACCTGACTAATGGGTAGACAAAATGTGATATATCCATACAATGGAATGTTATTCAGCCATAAAAGCAATAAACTAGAGCATGAGTGAAACTTGTATATATTACTAAGTGAAAAGAGCCAGACCCAAGAGGCCATATTTTGTAAGATTTCATGTATATGAATTGTCCAGAGAGGCAAACTCACGGATACAGAAGTAAGTTAGTAGTTGTCAGGGGCTATAGAAAGTAACTGCTATGGGTAAAGATTTCTTTGGGGGTTGGTGACAGTGTTCTGAAATTGGTGGTAATGGTTGTACAACCTTGGGACTATACTAAAAAGCACTGATTTGTATGTACTAAAAGTATAATTTTTTATAGCAAGTGAATTCTCTCTTTAAAGAAGGAAAAATACATAAGTACTCTTAAAATGTGATAGGAAGACAAGAGAATAAAAAATAGGCATGGGATATCAAATGACATTTCATAGGCATAAAATGTGAGGGCTAATTATATGGCTAGTATTAAGCACTTTACATGTAAATTTAATTTTTATAATCAGCCTTTGAAGTAGGTACTATTATCATCCCCAAATTTACAGGTTAAGAAATAGGGATTGTTAAGTAATTTAATATTCTCATTGATGAATGTTAGACTGGGATTCAGACTCAGGAACTCATATTTTTATTCCCTACACTTTATACTGTTTTAAACCCACACTGCTCTGTGTAAGTCTTTGTGTGGCCAGTTCATTTTTCAGGGCTGACTCCAACCACCCCACCACACCTGTTGGTTTTCTCCTCTCCAGATCCATTGATGAGATGAAACGGTTGGAGGAAATGTCAGGTATGTTTCGGAGCTCTGGAGTTGAGCGCCACCCCCCAGAACCAAAATCCCAGACAGAAGGGATTGAAGATTCAGGAGGCAAAGAGCAGCCATGGGAGATGGTGATGGATAAGAAACACTTCAAGCTGTGGCGGCGTCCCATTTCAGGCACCCACCTTTACCAGTACCGAGGTGAGCCCGGCCCGGCTGGGTGCACGGCACTCTGTTCTCTTACGCTCCGTTCCGGTTCTGTCCCGGGAGAGCTGCCCTGTGTGCTGTTGGCGTCTCCTCCCTGACGACGAGAGTCTCCTTGTCTGTGTTACACTCTGCCATAGGTTGTCTCTGTCGTACATTGTTGCCCCAGTGTGACTTCTGGTTTCTGAATCTGCCTTTAAGATCTGTACATCAGTACTCTGCGGTTGAAATGCCGTTAAGTGATAGGAATAGAGTGAGTGATGAGTGTGGCAGACAGTGCTTATTCTTTGTTCTAGTGTTTGGAACCTACACGGACGTGACACCGCGGCAGTTCTTCAACGTTCAGGTGAGTACATGTCTCCTCCCAGATCTGGAGCTGCTGAGACTAGATGTCCTCTTGCCATCGTCCACGTGAGTGATTTCTCTGACTGATAAGAGGTTGGCTTCAGTCCACCCATCTCTCTGCCCCACATTTAATGTCAGATCGCCTCTTGGTGGCCTTTGACTTACAGTTTGCCTGCTGGGGATGAGGCCAGTTCTGCTCTTTACAAGGCTGTTGGGAAGATCAAATAGAGGAAGGATTTGAGTGCTTTAATATATTTTATAAGACTATAGTTTTTTCCCCCTAAACAATTTGAGGGCAAGTTACATACCCTTTATTCCAAAAGCCTTCAGTGTGTTTTTCCTAAGAAACTGGACATATTCTCCTAACTAGCCATGGTACCATTATCAGAGTCAGTAAATTTAACTGATGCAACTCTGATAGAATCTTTGTATTCCAGTTTTACCTGTTGGCTTAGCGATGTCCTTCCCCTTCAGTACAGATGCAGTCAGGACTCAGCAATCTGGAACTTGTCCACAGTAAAGGTGTTTGTTTACTAAAGATAAGAGTATGTGTTCCAAGACTGTTCCTCCTTGAGGGGAAATAGAGAAAAGGGGAGCTGGGATCACCTAAAGTTCTACAAAATTTGTTTTTTCCTTGCTGGAGTTCTCATGTTTTACTGGACTTTGAGTAACTAGTGTGGTGATTATAACACCCACTGCTAACACACAAGTGCACGCTTTCCCCTAAGCACTGAATTCTGTCGATCTGTATTGAATTTTTGTTGATTTGAATGTGTATGGTATGTGTCTTACTTTGAGATTCCTTAGTTCTTAGTGATGTTAGAAATTTTTTTTTTTTTTAGAAATTTTTAAAATAATGCCACTTGTATTTGTGTGAGGTGTCTGCCCGTACTTTTGGACTTTTTGTCTGTTTAAAACTTTTTGGAATTATTTCATCCTTACAGATTTCTATCACTGTCTACTACTGTATTTTCTCTAGACATGTCTATGACAATATTTTCTTCTTACACTTGGGTTTTTTTTTTTTTTTAAGGTTCACTTTAAAAGTAGTGGGATTGGCCTACAGGAAGGGATTTAATTAAAAGACTCATCAGTAGTAAACAGCTGTATCTTGACACTTGGGCACTGCTTTTTAGGTCAGATCAGTTTCAGAAGAAGGTTCTGGGGTAAGAGGCCCACTCATCTGGAGAAGTCTTCTGTAGCTTTGTTTTGGATCTCTTGGGTCTTCATGGTCTTTGCTCTTTCTGTAGCTGGATACAGAATATAGGAAAAAGTGGGACGCCCTGGTGATCAAGCTGGAAGTGATCGAGAGGGATGTGGTCAGTGGCTCTGAGGTTCTTCACTGGGTGACCCATTTTCCTGTGAGTATTGTCACCTCTGGTTTTGCTTTGGTCACGTCCACGTGAGACAGAGCCCTGATCCTCTCACCCCTCCTCCTCTTTAGTACCCGATGTACTCACGGGATTATGTGTACGTTCGGCGGTACAGCGTGGATGAGGAGAACAACGTGATGGTGTTGGTGTCACGGTACGTGTGCTGAGCACTGGCTCCCGCCGAGTCCCTTCAGCTTGGCCTTCGTTCACATGTGTCTGCTGGGAGTCTGCTTGTCTTGTGAGTGAAGCCAGGGTGCCGTGTGTCCCAGCAAGAATGTGAGAGGGCTGGGACTGGTGACTGTCTCAGAGGGTTTCATCAAACTAATTCTTCAGTTCCTTAATGCTGATAATTAAAAGAGACACTGTCTTCTTAACACAAAGCCTACTGAGGCAGGAAACACCGAGGTAACTCACTCTATTTCATGACTTTTCTGATGGAGTCATTTAAAAGTTAAGAGGCTGCCTTTACTTCGTAACTTCAGCTCCGGTGGGCCTGTGTGTAGACGGTTCTCAGTTTCTCTTGCCTCTCTCCCTGCCAGTGCTGTGGAGCACCCGAGTGTGCCCGAGTCTCCGGAATTCGTCAGGGTCCGGTCATACGAGTCCCAAATGGTTATCCGTCCACACAAGTCATTTGATGAGGTGAGTTGTACATCATCCGAGATGTGATGGGTTAGCGGTTTATGAATTTTCTCAAGGAAAAACGCCTTTTGTCTGAACTGGGGAGGGCATGCTGGCTCTCCAGCTTGGCTTGCATCGGATCCACTGGAGCTGTGGCCTGAGATTTGCATGTTTTAAGCTCCCAGGTGAGGCTGGTGCTGCTGGCCTGGGAACCACACCTGAGGACCCCTCCTGTAGAGTGGTGTACCTGGAAGACCCTTGAGACAAAGTAGTGATGACCCCTTGGCTCCTGTTACCTGAGGGGCAGCTATGAGAAGACAATGGCCCTGACTCCTACAGGCTTGTTGGTGGCGTTCAACCAGAGCGAGCTACCCTTTCCATCAGAATTCCCACCGTGGGCAGAACACTTAACACATTTCTGGACTCCTGTTTCCTTATCAATGCTGTCTGCTTTCTTGAACATTTTATGACCTTTCTTTGCAAAGAATATTTTCTTCAACTTAGTGTGGTGTTTTATTTTTGATGTTTTAGCCAAATCTCTGTTGAGCATACATACTGATTGTGGTTGCTGTTTTTAGTCCTGTTAACTTTGAAATCACTTTGTTTTTCCCCATCGCTTTTGTTTTAGAGCTGTATGTTCTCTTAGCTGTGCTTTTGTTTTCAGCAAGTTGTTTTACTTACACCATCGTATAATGGGACTCTTAAGCGTGACAGAAACCTTGGTTTGCCTCTGTCAGTGTGGTGTTTTACGGGGAGGTGTATGTTGATGTTTGTGCCGTTTTAGAGCAATATTTTTTTTTTGCACGTGGGATCTTTACCACCAGGGATCGAACCCCTGCCTTGGAAGCTCAGAGCCTTAACCAGTGGACTGCTAGTAAAGTCCCATAAAGCAGTGTTTTTCAAACCATGCATTGCTACCCACTAGTGGAAGACAGACTTAATTACTGCTTGAAAAGGAATAAATAGAAACAATGTAAGCATATTTTATGAAACTTTTGTTTGATTACATACGTACAAGTATATGTGAGAGAGAGGCTGAGGAAGAAAGAACTTGGTTGGCAGTGTAGAAAGTATTGTTTCCAGTGTGTTGTAAGTGAATATAGCTAAACATGTTTCAAAGTCCTTACATTAGAAGCAAGAATGTTGCTATTGCCTGGGCAGGCTGGGGACTGTGGGAGTTAGAAGTATGCCTCGTGCTTTTCTTTGATGTTGCTTCTGAAATTTGAACCTTGTCCCTGTATTTCCTGTTTGGGGGGAAAAAAGTGACTGGAGTGCCAGCATTACTGCCTTTGGAAACCCTGACCATGAAATGGCTAAGGCAGAGTCGGGCCACCAGCGGAGTCTGTTGTCAGTAAATAGCTTCTTTCAGCTGAGGTGGGGGAACAGTATGCCTTGTCTGTGTAAGTATTGTAGCGTATTGTGACAAGCTCTTAGGAGAAAGGTAAGACTTGAGTTGGTTCTTGTAAAAAAGCAGCCTCTAGGTGGAGGAAAACAGGAAGGACCCTGGAGGTAGAAGACATGATTCCATGATTCAGCCGAAGACGAAGGAAGGAGGGATCCTTGGATGTTGAGAGACTCGGTGCTTAGAGAGGAAGGCAGAATTTAGGGAGGAGTGGTGATTCCTTGACCGTGTATAGAAGATACTTGAAAACCGGGAGCTGAGTTTGGATTTGCCAGATGGAGTGAAGATCCTGAGCCGTGGTGTGGTGTTTTTTGTGGCTGTGCTGCCAGGTTACAAGACCTCAGCTCCCTGACCGGGATCGAACCCAGGCCACGGCAGGGAAAGCCTGGAGTGCTCACTCCCAGGCCATCATGGAGCTCCCCAGTTCCACTTTTTATTAAGGAAGATTCGAGATGTAGACAAAAGATAGAGAAGTGGAGAGAATAACATAATGCATGGACTCTGTATCCTCCCTCGACTCCGGCAGTGACCACACACTTGGCCAGACTTGTTTTATCTGTACTTTTTCTGGTCACTTTCCCACAACCCTGATTTTTTTTGAAGCAGATTCTAGTGAAGGACTGAAGAATTCCTCTATACATATTTTAGTTTTTATCTCAAAAAGAAAGATTTTTTGAAAACATAATATCGTATTCCCTAATATATAACATCTGTAGTGTTCAAGCTTTCCTGATCATCCATGAATTTTTTTGTATTTATTTGAATCAGGATTTCAGATAAGATCCAGATATTGAAATGTGTTCACACCATAGCTCTGCATCTATATCTTGAGTTCTCCCTCCGTTTTCCCCCCTTGGAATTGTATTTATTGAAGCAGCAGTTTCTTTGTCCTGGATTTTGCTGGTTATGTTCCCATAGTGTCATCTGATGTTTTTCTGTCCCCTGTGTTCCCTGTATGTGGGTTCTTAGAGCTAGAGGCTTGAACAGATTCAGGTTATTTGCTTGGAGCAAGACTGCTTTATTAAAAGGTATATAATGTCTGGTTTTGCCTTTTTATACAGTTCATGGGGTTCTCACAGCAAGTATGCTGGAGTGTTCTGCCATTTCCTCCTCCAATGGATCACATTTTGTCAGAACTCTCCACTGTGAACCAACGGTCTTGCGTGGCCCTGCATGGCATGGCTCATAGCTTCATTGAGTTAGCAAGCCCCTTCACCATGACAAGGCTCTGATCCCTTTCTTTGTGAATTCAGAGATGATTGATGAATATTACTCAGCTCAACTATTAGAAGTTACAAAATACTATTTGTATGAACTCTTCATTCTTTCTTCGCTTATTTCTATTTATTAGATGACATACTTGAAAGTCGCTCAGTCATGTCCAGCTCTTTGCAACGCCATGGACTATACAGTTCATGGACTTCTCCAGGCCAGAATATTGGAATGGATAGTTGTTCGCTTTTCCAGGGGATCTTCCCAACCCAGAGATCAAACACAGGTTTTCTGCATTGCAGGCGGATTCTTGACCAGCTGAGCCACCAGGGAAGCCAGTATTTGAAAGTTTATACATTAACTATTTGATCTCCTATAGTTCACAGAGGAAAGGGAAATAAGAAAGATGCTGATTTGTTTGCTTCATTTACTAGTTTTTAAAATATTGAATTGGTTCTTTCAACAAGCAGTCCTCCAAAGGTTAAAGTTTTTATTTTTTAAAGAAATGATGGGACTTACCTGGTGGTCCAGTGGTTAAGACTCATACTTCCTATACGGGGGCCTGGGTTCAATCCTGCATGCTGTGCAGTACAGCCACAAGAAAAAAGAGGTACTATTAGAAACTCAAAGATTTAAGCATATCTGGTTTGTTTTACAGTCACTTTTATCTAGGATCCTCTTATTGACCAGAGTCCTTTTGACTTGACCTCAGAAACTCTCCTGTCTTCTGGTGCTATGTTTCAGGTTCACCTTCTATAGTTTAGGTGTGAATCTGAAAATGAGCATTTCTTCTAAGAGCCTTAATACCACACTTTGGTATCTAGAAGTTCTCGTATTTCTGGGCCTGTTCACTCTTAAGAGTAATTTAGCTTACATCCCTGTTCTTTCTACTCATTTAATTCCTTCTTCCTGATGGCAACTGTTTTCAGTTTTGACTTTTTTCAGTATAGGCAGTAGTGGATGAGAACCCAGGACTTTGGACTTCTCAATCCAAGTGCTTTATGGGAAGGATCATTTCAAGTTTTTTTTATATATATTAGCTCGTGTTGTCTCCTAGCCAGCCTTTGTGGTGTCACTTGTTCCCAGTGTGCAGGCTTCACCTCTCCTTCTTCTTTACTTCTGTGGCATTTGGTCTGTGTCTCTGTTACAGCACCTGTTTGTCCTGTTAATTGGAAACTCCTGAGGGCAAGGACTAGCATGTTCTTATCTCCCGTTTAGTGCCTCGCACAGTGCCCAGACACATAGCAGACATTCAGAGAGCTATTGAGTAGATGAGTAAAGGACTAAACGTTTCACCCAGGGAATAAAGAAGGTGAGCTTCAGCGTAAAGGCATGAGAGTCACAGTGCTACTGTCTACAGTTCTGGCCGGTCTGCTTTTTAAAGTGCAGGCTTGGGGCCTCCATGGCAGTCCATTGGTTAAGATTTTGCCTTCCAGTGTAGGGGGTTTGAGTTTGACCCATGATTGGAGAGCTAAGATCCCGTAGCCAAATACCCAGAACATAAAACAGAAACAATAACACATTCAATAAGGAGTTTTTAAAGTGGCTCTCTCTTACCCTGCGGGTGGAGCATATTTGCTTCAGACCTCTCCGGGGATTGGGACCCCTGTAAATCTCTTTAATCTTTGTCTTGAGTGTACCAGTGAGAGGGGTGAGTCAGCGAGAGTGGGTGCCTGGCCCTGGGTCAGGATTCTGGGTTCATCTTGGCTCTGGTTGAATATGTGGGTGAGCTTGAGCAAAGTCCCTTCACCTTTTGTGCTCAGTTTCCTCATCTGTAAAATGGGGATTAGCAGCATCTACATTATAGGATTGTTGTGAGGAGCTGAAGCAGTTCCTAACACATAGTTGTAAGCGCCGTGTAAATGTTTGATGCTAGCTAGTGTTAATAGTGATAGTAGTAAGAGTTAACATCGTTTCGATAAAGATTAAGATATTTAAACATGGTGGGGTATGTGTTGAGGTCCACCCCCACATTCTAAGTTTGACTAGAAAGATGTATAGGACCCAGCTGACCGTGTACTCACAGCTAAGATTTATCACAGTGACGGGAGGATGCATAGGTGGATCAAAAGGGGGAGGTGCCCGCGGGGTCTGGAGGAATCCCTGTGGGTTCTCTCGGAACACATCTTCTCCCACCGCAGAAAAGCAGCAGCACGTGTGATGATTCTGCCTGGAGAGCCCAGTGGAGACTCGGCGCCCAGAGTCTGCACTAGGGGCTGGTCACACAGGCGCCCTCTGCCTAGCACGTCCTGCAGTCCCAGACCCCAGGGGGAGAGCAGGGGCTCAGCAGGAAGCATGTTGTTTGCACCGAGGGGGCACAGGTAGCCCTGGAGTACTTAACTGTGGACCGGGGTCAGGCCGGCACCAACTTCCCAGACACCACTGGGCCAGCCTCACGAGATGGTAACCTCTCAGGTCTTCAGTGTTAACTCTTTTCTGCTCAGGGTGAAAAAAAAATGCAGCTCTCTGCCCCAGAGTCCCATCTTGGTTATTCTGTGGCACTGGGGACGGAGGCTGTGAGGGGTGATTTGGGTACCTTCATCTTTGCTGTTTTTTTTCCTAGAACGGCTTTGACTACTTGCTGACATACAGTGACAACCCCCAGACCGTGTTTCCGCGCTACTGCGTTAGTTGGATGGTTTCCAGTGGTGAGTGGGTACTTGTGCACGGGCCTGGGTACTTGGGCTGAACGTTTTGTTTTTCTCTAGCTTCTCAGTGGCTTCAAGGAGGTTAAGACTTGTTTCACGGGAGGCCTTCCGAGTTCGTTGTTGAATACTGTCTTGAAGGTAGTGAAGCCTCCAGCTGCAGTTTGGAGGGATGAGCATTCTGGAGTCCCAAAAAGAAGCCTGTGCCCAGAGGTGAATCGAAGAACGTTTGCTTAATACACACTGTGTACATTAATGCATTTACAAATTTTCTTCTTAGATCGTGTCGGAAGCCTTAAAACATGTGGTTATAGGACAGTCCACTGGAGAAAGGGGCCACCACCCTTCTTAACAAAGGCAACAGCACATCACTGCTGTGATTGACTGCATTTTTCCCGGCCGGTCTCTTCCCTTAGAAACAGCTTCATGAGATTTTCTCTCTTGTTCTCTGTAAGCGGTGTCTTACACTTCAGGGGGGAATGGAGAGGAGATAGGTGTTTCTGTTTGACATTTTTCAGCAAAATCAGCTGTGCCACTGATAAGTGGTATTTGAATCACATAAAAGGGCGCCTTTGGGGACTCTGGCTTGATCAGTGCCCCTTTTCAAAGGGAGGTCCCAGGTGCTTTCACTGCCTGTAAGTTTGTTGTTTGTCAGTGAGGCTGTGGCCTCTATAAGGAAGCATTGACTTCCTGCCTGGAGAGAAGCAGGCCCTGCTAATTTTGAGCCTAGTGGCTCAGCAGTAGAGAATCCACCTGCCGATGCAGGAGACTCAGGTTTGATCCCAGGGTCTGGAAGATCCCCCTGGAGAAGGAAGTGGGGAAACAGTAACTCACTCCAGTGTTCTTGCCTGGAAATCCCATGGACAGATTTACAGTCCATGGGGTCGCAAAGAGTTGGACACGACTGAGTGACTAAAACAGTGAAAACATAGTGAGCCTACTGGTTTGTGTGTCTGCCCGCCCAGATTGCCCTCTCTCCCAACAGGCATGCCAGATTTCCTGGAGAAGCTGCACATGGCCACTCTGAAAGCCAAGAACATGGAGATCAAAGTGAAGGACTATATCTCATCTAAGCCTTTGGAAGTGGGGAGTGAGGCCAAAGCCGCCACCCCATCTTCTGAGCGCAAGAGCGAGGGGAGCTGTGGGCCTGCCCGCATCGAGTACGCCTGACGGGCCCTGGGGGCAGTGGGGTCAGGCGGGTACAGCCCTGTCTCGGCGTCATCTCTCCCTCCGCTGCGGAACAGGGCGGGTTCGCAGGGCTCTGCTGTAGCCACCACGCAGGCTGATTCAGTGCTGGTGTCCGCTCTCAGGGCCCTGCTGCTCTCTATCGGAACAGGAGGAGGGGGCATCCGAAGGGCCTTGTCATGGTCTCGGGCCAAGCGTTTTGAAACTGGTGTTCCTGGAGCTCCTCTGGAACCAGCCTCGCCTCAGGCCGGAGGGGACAACATCCTTTACTTTCTCTGCCCACATTCCGTTCTCAGCCTTGGTTCTGTGGCACTTTGGGTTGGTTTCCTTCGGTTCTGAAGGTCCAACTGGACCACTTGGACGGTTGAGTTTTCAATGACAGGTCATGGCTGGAGGCACTCTAGGTCACAGTCCTGGTGTTGAGGGGGTGTGAACTGTTGGTTGGCAGCGTAAGTGCCTTGTCCTCACCTTCCCCTGTCTCTAGGGACATAAAGTTTGTACCAAGAGATGTCAATCTCTGCCTCCCATTGCCGTTCCCCACACAAAGCAGTTTCCCTTGAGTCAGCCAGTTCTTCGGTATTCATGTGCTGTGTTCATCTGGGTTACCGCCTCCCCCTGTAGCCCATTTACCAAGAACACTGGGAAACTAAACGCTGTCAGACAGTAACTCTATCATCAGTGTTTTTGATAGGATCAGTGGAGATGCTCAAAACATCCAGTTTAGCTTTGTGTTTTTTTTTTTAACTTGTGTGTTAAAAAGCGGGGGTGGAATTAGGAAATAGAATAGGATTTTTTCTCCATAGTCTGGGCTGTATAGACAGCACTGTTTTGATTTGGGCATTATTTTTCATACTTTGGGTTTGACTTAATGTGGCAACTTGGCCATCTTAGAAGGCTGAAGGCAGAGGGGTGGGGGTTGGGCACCTCCCTGGAAGCTCTCAGAGCTGCAGACAAGCCGTGTGAGCAGACAGATGCAGTTGGTCCCAAATGCTCATCAAGGGGGTTGTGATTCATGTGACCCTGTGAAAAGCTTTTTGTCCTCTTTTGAGCTAAAATTAAGGCAAACCAGGCTGTTCAGATAAAATCACAATCAGATGGGATCGGCCTGCCCTGGCTAACTGTCATGCTGCAGTCTGACCAGGAGCCTCGGAAAGGGCTTCAGATCCTCCTCCTTCCTCTTATTAGAATATGAATGACCAGATTTCCCCCACCCCCACTTGGTACCCTTTTGTGTTGCTGAAAGAGGAGCGAAAGCTGAGATTAAGCCCCTTAACCTTTTTGTGGCCTAAGTTTGTGCCAAGAAAATGCCTGCTCCACTCTGACTTCTTGCAATCTCCGCGTCGTTGGCAGACCAGATCGGTGCCTCAGACAGCCCCAGCTTCCCTTCATCGGTTGTGTCTCCCTCCTCATCCCCAGGGACGAGTCCCTGGGTTGCATTGGAACTTAGCGCCTGTGACTATTGGGACAGGGGTGGTATGGGCAAGTGCCGTGAGTACACTTGAGTAAAGGAGCTGTGTGTTGCTCACCTGCTTTTTGGCAATTTGACTCTTCACTTGGTCTTGGTCTGTACAGTTACTTATGTCATTGTAATGATTTCACTCCTGACTGTGGTGTTTTTACCAAATGCGTGAATAAATACAAAGATTGGTATGAAGGAATGTGTCTTTGGACATACGTTGTCAAGGAAGTCTTGCATACTGGGCTTATTATTTCTTCCTGATCATAAAGCGAATTCCTGCCGGCAGAGCTGGCACATGAAAGCAGCAAGGTTTGGTCTTCCCTGGCGGTAACTGCCACACCACCCACCACCAGTCTATAGACTATAAGGCCTTTCCAGGTGACCAGATTGGCAATTGAAAACAAACCACCCATTTCCACTTCCTTGTCTGGATCCACTGGTAACCCACACCCTTTGCTTTCAAAGGATGGACTTGGCGGGAACAGCGTTAGGAGTGGCAGGGCCTCTGGCCTGGTCTGGAGCCCTGGAGCTGGAGAGGGGGGAGTGAGCCCCAAAACCCAGGGCGTGGTGGTCACACAGGCGGTCCTGGGATGCAGGTTGGTGCTGGATGGTGGAGCCATTGAAGACTTCGGGCACACGGTGAGTTTTGAGCGTATGCGTGATGGTGCCTGTGGGAGACACGAGGTGAACACAGATCATACACAAGACTCTGGCCGCTCCTCCACTGCTGGAAGTCCTCTCGGCTAGCAGACCTCCTGTTAGAGGTCGTGGGCTGCGGGTACACGTGGGTCTGCGTAACCCCTCACTGGAGAGCTGGGTGCTGGCCTTCGCCCTGCCGTGGAGGCCCCTGCTTGGCATCCTGGCCACCGTCCAGGCTACACGGAAACAGTTTGCACAGAGAAGCAGTTGGCTTCTTAACTGAGAGCAGCATTTGTGCTGCCACGCAGCTCCAGCTTTCAGGAAGTTCTTTACATTGACACCAAGTGGGCCTCATACTGTCTACTGAAGGGTCAAGCCCTGAGCTTGAAGCAACACTGGAAAACTCCCGTGGAAGAACCTTCATTTTCTTAAAGGTGGTGCTCATGTGACAGCATTTCCCAGGCTTTATATCAGCAGCAACTTTAAAAATCCTCCAGCTTTTTCAGTGGTCAAGACTCTGCCTTCCAATGCAGGGTATGTGGACTTGATGCCTGGTGGGGAGCTCAGATCCCCCATGCCTTGTAACGAAAAAAACATGAAATGGAGGCAGAAGCACTTTTGTAACAATTCAATAGAGGCTTTAAAAAAGGTCCACATCAAAAAAATGTTTTAAAAAATTCAACTTTTTATTTTGAATATTCTATACATACAGAAAAGTTGAAAGAGTGCTAATAATAAAACCTGGTATACCCTTCCCCTGCCTTTGCTGGTGGTTAACCTGTTGCAGTGTGTGCTTTATTTTCCCTGTATACACTTTGCTGTGACTGGACTGTGTCCTGTAAGTGGGTATGCATGCTGGGACCCTAAGCCCCAAGTAATGGAGATAAGTCTTTGGGAAGCGGTTAGTTTAGATGAGGTCATGAGGGTGGGTCCCCATGATGGGATTAGTGCCCTTCACACTAATTGCTGCCAAAGTTGGTCTTTCTCTCCACCACGTGAGGAACATGAAAAGCCAGGGACCTCTCGCCAGGGACAGAATAGACCAGAACCTCAGCCTTGGATGTTGAGCCTCCAGAGTTGTGAGAAATCTGTTTAAGTCACTCTTGTCTGTGGCGTTTCATTACACTGGCCCAACTAGACTAATATACTTTTCCATGACCACCTGAAAGCACGTTGCAAACATACTTCATTAAATGCTTGGGCATGGGTTTTTTTTTTTTCTTTTGGGCCTTGCTGTGCAGCCTGCTGGATCTTAGTTTCCTGAGCGGGGATTGAACCTGTGCCACCTGCAGTGGAAGCATGGCGTCCTAACTACTGGACCACCTGGGAAGTGCCTGAGCATGCTTTTTTTTTTAATTTGGGCCTTGCTGTGCAGCCTGCTGGATCTTAGTTTCCTGAGCAGGGATTGAACCTGTGCCACCTGCAGTGGAAGCATGGCGTCCTAACTACTGGACCACCTGGGAAGTGCCTGAGCATGCTTTTTTTTTTAAATAGTAAAGATACTCTGTCTAAGCTACACTGCAAATAGCATACAGATAAACTTGTACATAACGTCTAATAGCTCATATTAAAATTTCCTCGGTTGCTCCCTAAATTACTCTAGCAACCCACCCCCCAAATTAATATTAAGTATATGTTGCGTTTGTGTCCTTTGTCAAAAGCAGCTAAGTAGCTAAGTTAGCAGCCTGCCCTTTGTGATGTAGCTTCATGGGTGCCTAAGATAATTTAGTGCCTGCCTGTCCCGTGCTCAGTCATGTCCAACTTTTTGTGACTCCATGGACTATGGACCCCCAGGCTCCTCTGTCCTTGAAAATTTTCCAGGCAAGAATACTGGAGACAGTTGCCATTTCCTCCTCCAGGGGACCTTCCTGACTCAGGGACTGAACCCATGTCTCTTCTGTCTTCTGCACTGGCAGGCAGATTCTTTATCTCTGTGCCACCTGGGAAGCCCTTAGTGAGATGTAGTTTTCAGACTGTTGGGGAACTCCCATACCTGGCCCCTACCCTGGGCTACTTACCCCAGAACTGCAGGTGGTGATAGCGGTCATGCAGCCTAAAGGATACAACATAAGCGGCAGCTCCCTTGATCTGCATACTACTAACATAAGCTAAAATGTCATTAATTTGTCACCTGTCTTCGTCACACTGTTGACTTCTGTTGTGCTTGGGATAACACGGTCACCCAGCATCTGCTGTGCCCAGCACTGTGCTTCATGCTTTCGAGCAAGATCTCCTATAATCCGACCTAGGACAGCTCTGCAAGAATGTAGCGATCCCTGTTGTATGAGCAGGAAATAATGGCATCAGAGGTTAAGTAATTTTCTTGCTCAAAGTCAACACAGGAAGTGCAGAGCCAGGGTGTGGACCTAAATTTGACCTCTGCAGAGACACCTCTGGCAAATGGCTTCAAGCTGGGCTAGTTTCTCATAGATGTCGTCAGGTTCGATTCCTTCCCAGGGCTGTTAACTTACCTTGGAACCTGGACCGTGGGCTTTCTTTTCATCCCCCTGTGTTCAATTTTATGTGGTTTTAGTTTTGCCCTACTGCCTAGCTCCATTATCCAGTTACCAGTTGTTTGATGGTGCTCTGTCTATGAGTATTAGAAGCAATAAATATAATTTCTCTCCTGAAAATTTCAGGATGTACACCACTAGCGTGACACATGGGTTAATATAAAGAGGTGGGACAGTTTTCTTGGGGACCTTGTGAGGTAGCATTTTCTAAAAATGTTTACTTACAAAGTAACTAGTCTCTGAACCCAGCATAGTAGGACAGGAATTTGAAAATTCTTTTTAAAATGAAAACATCCTTCAGAAAATCTGAGAACTCTGATTTCTAACAAATAACCTTGAGGAGTATCTTAAAAATTAAACTATAGGGACTTCCTGGTGGTCCAGTGGTGGAGAATCGACTGGCCAGTGAGGGGTACACAGGTTTGATCCCTGGTTGGGGAAGATCCCACATGCCTGGAGCAACTGAGTCTGTGGGCCACAACTGCTGAAGCCCTCACAGTTAGAGCCCGTGGTCCACGACAAGGGAAGCCACTGCATTGAGAAGCCTGTGTGCAGCGAAGAAGACCCAGTGTGGCCATAAATAAATTTTAAAACTTAAACTATAAGCTCTGGATGGAAGTGATTTTGATGTAAAATGTGCTTATTTTTATAAAACTCAGTAGTACTTGATAGTGTCATTTCAAAGGAACTCCCAGGCTACACACACAAAGTTGCTTTAATGACCTCATTCTAGTTGATTCTGGTCCACAGATGAACTTAAAACCTTTTTCAGACAGATAACTTACAAATAATGTAACTTTATCATCTATTTTTAAAGAGCCTGAAAGTGAAAAGTGTTAGTCGCTCAGTCCTGTCCAAGTCTTTGTGACCCCATGGACTGTAGCTCCCCAGGCTCCTCTGTCCATGGATTCTTCAGGCAGGAATACTGGAGTGGGTTGCTGTTCCCCTCTTCAGGGGATCTTCCCGATCCAGGGATCGAACCTGGATCTCCTGCATTGCAGACAGATCTTTATCATCTGAGCCACCAGGGAAGCCTGATTTTTAAAGAGCCTAACCACACCTAAAAAGATAGCGTGGCTGTTTGAAAACAGTAGTGTTTGGGTGTTTTTATGGTTTGCGTTTTATCATGTCTTAAAGCTCTGCTGAGCACGTGAGTTAGGATCATGTTCAGCTTTGAGGGACAAGACCAACATTGATACTCTTTTCTGAATGTCGCTGATCCAGACACGGTGGCTCCCTGAGTCCCGTGGGTCCTCCCAGGCCCAGGCTCCTGCCTCACGTGGGGTTGAAATCAGTTACATCAGAGTCTGGAGGGTGAGACCTGAGGATTATGTTTACTTCCTAATGCGTTATAGTTTGTCAGTGCTCATCCTAAAAGGTGGAGTCCAGAATTGCACTAGTCTCTGTTCCCTAGCAGAGGAGCATCATGAGCGCGGGGGCGGCGTCCACTCAGCGCCCATAGGCCCGATCCTCCTCCAGCCATCACGTCTGTGCCCTGCCAGCAGGAAGCGTCCTCAGGACGCTTTCCAGGGTGGCACGCCATTTCTGCTTACAGGCCGGGCACCAGAACTTAGGCCAAAGACGACGCCCCACTGCTGACAAGTAGGCTATTCTTTGAGCAGCCATGTGCCCAGTAAAAATTCAGAGGTCATTTTGCTGAGGAAGGAGTGAGCGGAAGTGGGGGCATTTTGCAGGCTTTGCCGGTTTATAGCTCAAATAGAGCTACAACTGTGAGTGCATCACTTCCAAGACTCAGGACTTGGTTAAAAAGGCAGTAATGGTAGGAGATATTCTAGTTTGCTAAGGCTGCTAGAACAGAGTACCAGGGAAATCCCCCGGCAGTCCAATGGTTAGAACTCCGTGCTTCCACTTCAGGGGAGCCTGGCTTGATCCCTGGCTGGGGCACTGAGATTTTTTTTGCCACGCAAAAGAATTAGAGCCATCCTTGGTTATCTTCACAGGATCCAGGGCACTAAGATCCTGCATGCCCCGGCGTGGCCAAAAAACAAAGCAAACAAGCAAAGTAGCGGGGCTTCCCTGGGTCCAGTGGGTAAGAATCTGCCTTACAATGCAAGGGACACCGGTTCGATCCCTGTTCCAGGAAGATCCCACACGCCGCGGGGCCGGTAAGCCCCTGTGCCACAACTGTAGAAGCCCGAGGGCCCAGCAGGAGAACCGCCACAGTGAAGCCGGAGCACCCAGCTAGAGTAGTCCTCACTCAGCACTAGAGAAGGCCCGTGTACAGCAGGAAGACCCGCCGCAGCCAAAAGTAAAGAACCCTGAAGAGGAAGATCCTACCCCACCCGCCCCCCAATAAAAACAAAGTGTCATGAACTGGTGGCTTAAACAACAAAAATGCATGGTCTCCCAGTTCAAGAGGCTGGAAGTCTGGGAGCAAGGTGTAGGATGGTGGGCCTCTCCCAGGTACTGGGGGTCAGTGGCCCTCTCTGGCCTCCCACCCCCGCCACCCTTGGCCTTCATGCTCATGTGGTCTCCCTGTGCGTGTGTCTCGGTCCAGATTTCCCCTTTTTGTAAGGACACCGGTCGTATTGGTGACAGGCCCATTCTATTCCAGTATAATCTCATCTTAACCTAACTTAGGACATTTCAATGGCACTATTTCCACATGAGATCACCTTCCCTGGTGTTGGGGGTTAGGACTTCAACATCGGAACCTTGAGGGGCCGCAGTTCAACCCAAAACAAGGGAAGATTGCAGAGAACTCAACTTCAGAATGACTTTTCAAAAGCAACGGCCCTCTTGAGACTTCCCTGGTGGTACAGTGGTTAAGACTTTGCCTTCCAATGCAGGGGGTGTGGGTTTGATCCCTGGTTGGGAAACTAAGGTCCCACATACCTCTTGGCCAAACAAAACAGAAAACAGAAGCAATATTGTAACAAATTCAATAAGTCTTCTAAAATGGTCCACATCAAGAAAAAAATCCTGAACAAACACAACCCATGCAAAAGCAATGGCCTCTTAGGGCGCACTTCCCTGTGGCGGCAGCAGGGGGCAGGGCTGCACCGCTGCTGGAGCTCGTTTCCGGGCCGCCCGTGGCTGCTGGAAGCGCACCGAGACCGCCCAAGGTTCACTGCGGTCTCCTTGGGCATCCCCACCCCTCCCTCAAAGCCTTCACTGGCATCAAGACCTATGAATCAAGGAGAAAGGAAGTGGGTCAGACGGTGTAGCCTCTGTGGGTGTGCAGAGTGGGTTGGTGAGAAGAGGAGGCCGAGGGGGAAGG